TCCTGTCAGGGAAGGGGTCAGAGCTCAGGTCAATTCCTGTCAGGGGAGGGGACACGGCTCAGGTCACACCTGTCAGCGAAGGGGTTACAGCTCAGGTCAATTCCTGTCAGGGAAGGGGTCACGGCTCAGGTCAATTCCTGTCAGGGAAGGGGTCACGGCTCAGGTCAATTCCTGTCAGGGAAAGGGTCAAGGCTCAGGTCAATTCCTGTCAGGGGAAGGGGTCACGGCTCAGGTCAATTCCTGTCAGGGAAGGGGTCACGGCTCAGGTCTATTCCTGTCAGGGGAGGGGTCACGGCTCAGGTCTATTCCTGTCAGGGGAGGGGTCACAGCTCAGGTAATGGCCTCTTAGAGCCTCAACGGGTGTTTGGATCTCCATGCCTTTTACCCAACGGCCCTGCATGGTCATGACTGGCTGAGATCCTCCCTGGGCCCCCCGCTCCTGTGGAGCCTGAGTCTCTCCTCCGTCGCTGGGCTGCAGGCACATGCCGCCCGGAGCACGCCGCCTGCCAGACCCTCGGAGTGTCAAGGCCCAAAGGTCGCGGCAAGAGGAGGAGCTGCTGGATTCTGCCCCTCCTGCAGCGGCACCTTAACGTCTCTGGTCGTAAAATGAAACGACAACGCCTCCCCCAGGAATTTGGGAGAGCATTGAAGCGAGGGCTCGCGCACACAGAAGCCACCCTGAGGCAGCACGTGGGCACCCCCCGCCCCAGCAGCGGCGCCGCCCGCGCACCTGTGTGGAAAGCACAGGCCACTTGGCAACCCCTAGAGGAGGAACGAGGGTCACAACAACAACACGGCCGTTCTCCACCTAGGATCAAACACTAGGGAGTCCTCTACACCCACCTGCCACGACCTTTGGGCCTTGAGGCCACCGCCCTGTCCCTGCTCTCCTTCCTCCAGCCGAGGCCCCGGCCTCCCACTCTGCTGAGACTGCCCTGCACAGGCTGGGCTCACACCGCACAGTAAGGGAAGCCTGTCCCCCTCAGCGAGAAGGGTCTCCGTTAGCAGGCAGTGGAGACCACGGCCAGCGCCTGCGGGCTCTCCTAAGGCTGACGTGATGCTGTGGCGAGTCCTTAACAAACGTGGCCCTGTGTCTCCACGAGACACAACCTCTACCTGCGGGCTCATGTGCCCTCATGTCACCACACGTGTGTGCACGCCCAGGGCACACTTGCCACGTGCCTCCATCTCAGTCACGAGGGGGACGAGCAGAGCCCCGCGGTCACCAGGGCAACCACACATCTCACCTTTATCACCATCTCAAAGGTGAAGACGCCTGTGAAGATGTAGTCCATGTACTTCAGCACCTGGAACCAAAAGGAAAGGCTTTTCTCAAAGGCGAGGCCGGAAGCTCGAGCGGGGGCAGGAGCCTGAACGACAACGCATCAGCCTGGGGCCTGTGGGCAAGGGTCTGGGGAGGAGAGGGCAGGCCAGCGACCCCTGAAGCGGCAGCCCTCCCTCCCATGCCGGGCACGCCCCGCTCTTCTGTGTCCCAGCCCCCCCGCGGCCCGACGGCAGCACTCACGTTGTTCCTGGGCGAGTCTGTCTGCACAGGGTCCTCAGCGGCCAGGGCGATGCTGCTCAGGGCAATGACCACGAGGATGCTCATCTCGAAGTACCGCATGGTCACGATGTAATGGCAGAAGCGGCGGAGCCTGAAAGGCAAAGCACGGGTCACCTAAGGCCCACGGAGGGCTGGGCTGGGTCCTCTCCGTAGGGAGAACTGAGCTCTGGGAAGTGTCCCTGTGGTCAGGAGATAGCAGCCAGGTGACTGATGGGGACCAGATTCCTGGGAAGGTAGGTGGCGGGAAGGCTGCAGAAACCCTGGGCAGGGCCAGCCCACCACGGCTTGCAGGCCAAGTTGGTCCGTTCGCTACATGAAGTTCCACTGGGGCCCAGCCAGGCCTGCTCGTCTACCTGCTGTGGGGCTGCTGTGCCCTGGACGGGCTTCCAGCTCTGCTGTGGGTGGGGGAAGAGGCCGAGTACCAACAGTCCCGTGGAGAGCAGGTGCCTCTCGAGCCCCAGTGCTGGGTGCGGTGCCCCCGTCGGAGCCGCCAGAACTGCGTGTGTGCACCTGCCCGCCTCCACTCACCACTATTCTGCTCCGTTCAGGCACATTCTGGGCTGGGACACAGTGGCGAACAAGACACCAGTAAACATAAAGCAACAGGAGATGCTCAGGTGTTGACACACACTACGACTCAGCAGGAGACGGTGACCAGGAGGCCAGCAAAGGCCCAGCAGGGGGAGAGTGAAGCCGATCCTGGGGGACGAGCGCACGAGGCAGACGTCGCTCCTGCCACCCCGAGGCACGTGCTCACGGGGGCCCCCCTCCTGCCTCTGCTGGCTCAACCGCTGCCCACCAGCCCGTCCAACCTGCTCCTCTCGCCAACGCGGAGTGTTCCCAAGGGCACCCACGTCTCTCTGTCCCTGGAAGGGACTGGACTTTATGCCTGTCTCCTCCTCACCCCGACCACCGGTGTCCAGCTCCAGCCCACACACTCCCTGGAGCTGCCCTTCCCAGGCCCCCGAGGGACCTGCTGGCACTCCTCCCTCCTAATTGAGACGCTTTTCCTTCCACTTCCCCGACGCTCCCTCTCGGGCCCTCTTCCATCCCAGCCCCCTTCCTTCTAATCAGCAGCTGCCGCTCCATCTTGTGGCTGAGTTTCCACCCTCGCTCAGATCCCCAAGTCCCCCGGCCATGTGCCACCTGCCAGCTGCCCCGGGCTCCACAGGGTCTGTGCTCACCACCCCCAGCTTGGCCGGGCCCCCAGCCGTCAAGCAGAAACCCTGGCTGCCATCCTTCACATCTCCATCCCCTTCCACATCGAATTTGCCATCAAATCCTGCAGATCCTGCCTCCAAAAGTTCTCCCCAAGCATTTCGCTCCCAAACCTCTCCGCTCCGGCTGCCCTCAGCAAATCACCAGCAACTCTTCCTGAAAACCGCGGCCACCTACTAACCGGTCTCCCTGTCTCGTCTCCAGTCCTCCAACCAAAGGGCTCTGCTGAAGTGCAGTGTAACCAAGTCACCACTCACCCCCAACTGTTTACAACCTCTCAAGCTTATCAGGGCTCTCGGTGTCACCTCTGCTTCTCCACAGAACACACAACAGCGCTGTCTGCCTCTGTGCTTTTCCATGCAACTGTCGTTTGCTGTTCTGAGCCTGATATCTTTCACTTCTGGACCACTCTAAGTTCTCTCCGCCCTCCAAGAATACTGGTTCCTCCCTCTTCATCTTAACTCTTCACCCTTCAGGTTTCACCTGAGATCTCTCACCTCCTCCAGGAAGGCTCCCCTGACTCTCCCCACCTGCTCCAAGACACCAGACCTCCCTGCTTTACCGTCCACATTGTACTTATTTGACGGACACCACCCGGTCGGTGCTGGAGGCCGAGGCCTCATCTGTCTCTACCGCCATCTTACTCCAAGCCCCTAGCAGAGCAAGCTCCCCACAGACGTATGCTGAAAGGAGGAACGTGGGGAGGATGGACGACGGGGGCTGGTGGAAAGACTGCTGGATGCCCAGGGCAGAAGGGCTGGCTGGACACGTGGGTAAAGGACAGAGCACGAGCTCCTCAGACCCTGCTGTGCTGCCCCTCTGGGCGGTGTGGTTCCGCCTTTGCTCTGCCTGCATCTCTGCCTGGTGGGCTCTCACGACCCCCCGCCACGTCTCTGTTCCAATCCCACTTCATGTCAGCAGCCCCCACCGTCTGCATCTCCAGTCCCCGCTTTGTGCTTCCTCTTAGCCCTTCCGTCCATGAACCATCTCATGTCCCCTCCCTAACGTCCTGTCTGCTGTCTGCCTCTCCACTCGCTTGTAAGCTTAAGAACAGATGGGGCCCTTGTCCGTTCTGCTCATGACCGTGTATTCCCAGCACCTAGCACGCTGTCTGGCATGTGAACATTGGCTGAGCTAATGAAGGCAGGTGGACTGATGAGTGGATGAGACTCACGGTGTAAACAGAGGGGAGAAACTGTGCACAGACACGAGTGACTGTGACGCACACCTGCGGGCTCTGCTGGAAGGCGGGCGGAGGGCAGCACATATGCACGATGGATGTAAACTGGGTGCGTGTGTGCAGAGGTAAACTAAGGCTGCAGTGGGGGTTAAGAACAAGGCCCTGGGACCAACTGCCTGGGTTCAAATCCCAGCTCCGCCACCGAGACGGACGGGCTGTGTGTCTGGACACCGGCCTTCCCTGTGGCTTCGTGTCCTCATCTGCAAAGTGAGGTGACAGTAGTGTGTGCTTTGTGGGACGCTGTGGTGATCAATCAGGATATTAATACAGGTACAGGTGCAGCTCACGCCTAGCACACACTGGTAGGGTGTACACGTGGATCATGGGCCATGGACAAGAGGACGGCACAGGACACAGGCTGCTGACGAGACTCACAGGTTGGTGGGGCTTAAGCAGAACATGGAGCTGTAAGGGACGATGGGTCGGGGGCCGTTCCTCATCACATCATCAGCTTCCACCTCCTTCTTCCCTTCTGCTTGGCTTTCCAGGTCCACGTTACCACCTGCAAGGACACGAGGCCACCAAGTTAGGGGTGTGGCTCATAACCCACACCACGCAGGTCTCGCCCCGGGGCGACGGACACTCTCCCAGCTCCAACCTCACAGGTCTTCGTGGACCCACCCCAGGGAAGGGCGTGCAGCTAAGAACACAGCTTCACATAAGACCCCTCCGATCACAGTCAGGCCACCACTGAGGCGAACAAAGGCAGGGCCGTGCCAGCGCTGAGGATCTGGGCTGTCTGCCGCAGAGATCCAGAGACCCTTCCTCACCTCTCCCTTCCCCAGGGTCACTGGGGAAGCAGTACCAAGCCTAGCGGGCGTCCCTGGCTGCGGACTTCTCTGCTTCCCTAGGGGCCATAAATCTAGATGTTCTAAGAACACCAAAGCCGCCTTCAGCCCCAGAGACCAGGGCCAGTAGGTTCCCCCATCCCAGTGCAGGGCTCACCACTCGAGAGAAGGCATCCCGGGCTGCCTGGTGAGAGCTCCCACTGTCGCTGCAGGGGGTTGGGGCAGGGCCAACAGGGCAGCAAGGAGAGGGGCTGGCCTGGCCTGAGCCGCTCTCCTGAACCTGCTGGTCAGGCCTGACCCGCCGCACAGGGCCCGCAGAGGACTCTGACCCAGGGAGGACGCGGGCACTGCCGTCGCCCACACACCCGCTTGGCCCTTCCTCCTCGCTCTTCATCGCCCCCCTTCCCTAAGGCCCATCCTCTGCACTATCAGCACCCCCTCCTCCACTTGGCACCCACAAATCAAAGCCTCCAGGGTTATTTTGGCTGTGACCACTGTTTTTACGTAGATTTTGCTGTTCTGCATAGTATGTTTCTCACAACAGTGTTTCATTTTTAACTATCCTAATGTATGTTTCCATTCTTGTGGGTAATAGTTCCTGAGACCCAGGGATGCCAGGGAGGACAGTGCAGTGACTTGGAGCCAATGCCCACCTGTCCACCTCACTTTTACTTCTTGGAAGAAGCATAAAGGCAGAAATGAGGGAGGTTCCCTCCAGCATGTGTGAAGACGAAGGCTCTAAGCTTCTTCCCTGGCTGCTGGCCACTCTGAAGTCCTGCAGAGAACCGCCGGGCCAGAGAAAACAGCCTTGACCCGAACGTGAAACCACGTGCTGTGGCTTAAGCCACAGCAGCTACGATGCTTCCTCGACTTTCAGCTGCCACCACCCGGCACCATTCAACTCCCGGCTGAAGGCATAAATTATAGCATCTTCTAAGAAAGCAACTAGGCAATACTTATTTAAAGTAAAAAATTCTGTCTATTGATTTAATTTGTACAAAATTATCTCCTAAGGACATCAAGCATGCACACAAACATCTGTACTCACAAAGGTGTTTGCTGTAAGTTCTGTTACAGTAACAACAACAATGAAAAGTATAACCACAGGAGATCGACGAAGTGTGCAGCACTTACAGGAAGCATCATACTATGAATATTAAAAATGCATACAAATAGTTTAAATGACTTATCATTAGCTTTAAAGAAGAAGCTTATGATAAGGTAAGTTAAAAAAAAAAAAAGACTGCACACTTGTATATCCCAGATGGGCTCAACTATGAAAAATAACATATACAGGGAGAGAAATAACACCAAAATAACAGTAACTGTGGTGATCTCCGAAAGGCTTTCTGATAATAATCTTAATTCTCTTCACTATACTTTTAACACTAACATTTTTTTTTCTGTGATGAGCATGTGTAACTTTTAAATTAAGAAACATTTATTATTTTAAAACCACAGCTTTTCAGACTCTTCCACAATAACAATTAAGCAAACCCAAGGACAAGTAAACTGGGAAAAAGGAACCAATATACACTGAATGAAGTATTTTTCTGCTCAAAAGAAGTGGAACAAAGATGCCAGAGCCTGGATGAAAATGTTTCTCTTGAAATAGATTTACTACTACAACAACAGCAGAAATCATCGATTAAGTCAAAACAGACCAGGAATAAAGGGAGAGGATCAAAACGAGAACTACAACAGACTGAGGAAATATCCTGTTGGAAGCTGTTTAAAAAAAAAACTAGACAGTAACAAAAATTAATTCATTGAAACAGAAGACAATCAAGCCAGATGGCCAGATATGGGGGAGGGGGGCGGATAAAGAAAGGAACAGAACGTTCACTGAAAACAACATGTGCCGGGCTGGTCCAGGTGCTTTATTCTCACAATGGCACTTACTGGCACGTATTATTACCTCCAGTTTGCAGATTAAGAAACTGAGGCTGAACGGAGGAATTACATTGTGGGGCCATGATCGACCAAAGCTGGGGTGAGGCGGGAAAGCTGAGTGAGGCACCACGCTAAACTGCTCCCTCCAGAGGACCGAAGGGAGACCAGGCGGGTGGTGCGCTGGGCTTCCAGGAAAGCACAGGTAAGTCCTCTCTGACGAGAACATCCCTCATCTGGCCCACAGAATCCCCACCGAGCAAGGCAATCATTTCCAACTTGAAGAGAACTTAAGCCTAATGTCCCAAGGCATCCAGCATGTACAAAGAATTTCTCTCCTACAGCTATGTACCATCCGTGGGAGAACTGAAAAAGCAACCAAACAATTCTTTCTCTGTAGGGCTTGATTATCAAACAAAGCCCACTTCAGAAAGGGTGGATTACGGCCAGTCATATATGAACCCCAACAAAAATCATCAGCAAACATACAAGGACCAGAAAACAAACATCACCCCCATACGAGGTGCGCGAAAGACAACAGAAACAGGTAATATATATATAACCCCCAGTGGGCTTCAGCTGTGAGTACCTTCAGATGAGGACCATGAAAGAACTAAACATAAATATGTAAGGAAATAAAAAAAATGAACGAGCAATAGAAGTCTATAAAATTGACCTATGAGAGAGGCTTAAAAAGGACTCATCCTCCTACTAAAAACAACTATAAAAGCTGAAAAAAATACATAACTGTTTAAAGGCACAGGGAACCAGCTGACACGGACAGAACCTGAGAAGCCACAATCCTTGGGAGAAAGGAGGCACGAGGCGACCCCTGTGCACATGGGGCCATTTTCCCATCTTTAGAAGCAGAAAGCAACATGCCTACTGGGAGGAGGAGGAAAGACTGGAGTTTGAGGATGACAAAGTATCTGGGAATGAGGGGCGAAATCCCAGAGAGGAGAGAAGGGCAGAGAAGTGAGCCCGTCTGTCGGTCCCAATTAATTCCCCTCCAGTCACTGCTGCACAAGAGCAAGACAAGGCTGGTCTCTGCCAGAAGCAAAGGGCCCCGAGGAGGATGCAGGGCTGAAGACGCGATGGTGCAAATGCAAACAGAGATTTAACTTCGCTATCATTCTGCACTCAGAGCGTTCTTGTTTTTGTTAGTGTTCTGGTTAAAGAGTTGCATATCTTGAATAATTTGCTCTTAACCTAACTTTTTCTACAAGGCCTATTATTTTCAATGCATGGCATTTTCAGAAATGCACACATAATGTTATAGCAGGAAGGTCTGTACTTCAGGAAGACAGAAAATGATATTAAAGGAAGGTCTGCAATGTAAGAAATTGGTAAATCTATCAATAAATAAACACAGTCTCTATAAAGTTGTTGGGAAGGAAGAAATTTTCCTCTACGTTCCTACGTTCTTCTGACTGGTCTAAGAATTAAACTGGCGTGAGGTTAACAGGAGAAAATCAAATTTAACTTCGTACATACGGGAACCACACATACGTGAGAGGTTCAGACAGAAGGGTAAAATGAGGTATATACACCACCTTAAGCTAAGGAATGGGATAGGAGCCTGGGGCTTCCAAGGACAGGAGGGTCATTCATTGGACAATATAAAAAAGGGCAGGTTTTTGGTAATTAGACGCTTGCCCTGCCATACAGATGGGGCCACTTAGATAACATTTATCTCTGGTAATAACTCTTCCCTGGGAAAAGTCCCCAATTTAAATTCTTCTAGGTAGTTAAGGGAGGGGCAGTTGCTTCTCTTGAACCCACAGGGACTCGACTGCCCTTAGCTCAAAATAATCCTCATGCAAAAGTGACACATTCTGGGGAGGGCTCATCCTGAATGCCTACAAAGGCAGAACAATATCTGTTTTGTGGGGAGAAAAGGACTGAAACGCTGGATGCTACCAAGGAAGCTGGGGGAAATGTGATCGCAGCTGCTGTTCTAAGGTCTTACTTAATAAAATAAGTATAGATTTTGTTATGCATGCATGATAGAATTATAAGATAACCACTTTAAAAAAACAGAAAAATAATTCATAGTTTATAAACTAATATAGAGGGGAAAATGTGACACGAAAGCAAATAAACAACCAATTATTCAATACTAAAAAGCAAGGAAAGGAGGAAAAAACATAGGAAAAATGGAACAAATGTCACAAGTCCAAGTAAACTAATAATCACAATACATAAAAGCCGAAGGAACCTGGTTACTGACTGACACAGATCACCCAGATGGCATTTTTAAAAATACAGTTATATGTAGTTTCCAAGAGACAAGCCTAAAATCAAGGCCACATAAAGGCTGGAAGTCAAAAGACGGGAAAAGATACACTTGGCAAACGTTCATTAAAAAAACAAAATAAAACAAAACTCAGGTATATATTCACATCAGAAAAATACAATATACGAAAAAATCATTATTAGAGTTAAAGTGGGTCAGCAGAAGATGACAAAAAGTTCAGCTCCAGTAAGACACAGCAATTTTAAATATACATAAAGTGGCTTAAAGTATAGAAAGCAAACATATATTTTAACATAAGCTTTTTTTTTGAAAAAAGGAATAAATAAAAGAAAAAGCCTAACAAAAGAGATTCAGAAACACATAGTTCTATTTTAGAAACATACACAATAGTACTTGGTCATCTGTTAGCATGTTTCCTATACTGAACTGCATGTTTCAAACTATTCAAAATAACTGCATTAAATATAGAAACTTACACACACACACACACACACACACACACACACACACACACACACACACAAGAGCTGACAGATCTACAGAAAGAGATTTCAATGCACAACGTCT